ATAATCAATATAATTTTGTTAATGAAATGGCTCAAAAATAGGAATAAACTTATACAGGTCATACAGTCATCGCAGGATAGTTTTGAAATCTTAATACAAAGGATTCAGGAAATGCAAAATTCATTGCAGGAGAGTAAGAAAGGGTTGGTAGAAAATATTCAGGATATTAAAAATGATAATGTAGGTCTGACGAACAGGTTTAAAGAGACGGAACACAAAATTGAATTATTTTCAGGAAAAATGTGTTCCATAGATAGAATTGAAAAATTGGAACATAATGTGGAAACATTTAACGACAAACACGGTTCCATGTTTGATGATTTCACTAGCAAATTACAAAGACTGGAACATAAAATTGAAATGCTAGCAGAAAAGAATTGTTCCATGTCTGAGAGCAATGATAAACTAACTGATAGAATATCATTTGTAGAAGGCAGTTTACATGCTATTGAGGTACTTGCTAAGGATGAGAATATTAGAAATTTGGAATCACATGTAAATGATGAATGTAAAAAAATGAAAGATTCCATGACATCCTTAGAAAATCATTTGTCCCAAGAACTTCAAGAGCTCAGAGAAACAATGATGAATAGACTGCAGGATTTAGAAGACGCTCAATCTGATACTTCAGAATCAGAAATACAGGCAACAGGTCAGGACAGGAGTTTCCCAAAGCTTCTCAAATGCCGGAATGATTTCCCTAAGGTTGCTATGCGTTCCCCTATGGTTTTTCCAGTATCTGTATCAGAAAAACCAGCAACGAAAAAACAATCAAATGGTCCCATTGCTTATCACTGGGAGCCTATACAGATGAAGGATCTAAAAAATATTAAGGAGGCCATTGTCATGTATGGTCTTCATTCTCCCTTTGTCAGAGAGCTCCTAACCTCATGGGCTACTGTAAATAAAGTAACCCCAAAAGACTGGGCCCAATTAGCCTCTGCAGTGCTCGAAAATTCTTGCCAAATTCAATGGAGAGCTTTATGGAGGCAAGAAGCAAAAGCAATAGAAATTCAGGAATTACAGAACGGTCATGAAGTACCCCAAGACAAGATTCTTGGGGAGGGTCCTTACGCTGACACGCAGGTTCAATCTGCATATGACGAGCACATGTTGTCTTTGTGCCGTACAGCTGCTTTAAATGCCTTGGATAAGGTTTGTGAAACAGGAGAGATAATGCAACCCTACACCAAGGTATTACAGGGCCCAAGGGAAAGGTTCACTGAATTTTTAGAGAGATTATCCAGAGCAGTAGAGGTACAGGTAGCGAACCCAGAATCCAGGCGTCTCCTTATAGAATCTTTGGCGTATGAGAACGCGAATCCTCAATGCAGGCAGGTAATTTGGCCATTAAAAATAAGATCAGCGCCATTGGAGGAATGGGTTCTGCATACAGCGAACCTGGAATGTAAAAGTCAGGATACAGGAGCTTGGGTAGGTGAAGCTATTTCTACAGGCTTGAGGAGGCACCAGGATGCCAAATACCCTACCTGTGATGATATAGAGGCATGGGTAGGGAAGGCAATCTCAAAGAATTTAAATAGGCGTAAAGATCCAACATGCTTTAACTGTGGTAGAATAGGACATCTTAGTAGGAACTGTAGACAACGCATTCCTAGAAATAATGCTTTTACCAGGAATGCATCAAACAGAAGGCCTAAGCCTCCTGGTCTATGCAGGAGGTGTGGGAAGGGGCGCCATTGGACTGATGAATGCTTTTCCACAATAGACAGACAAGGTAGATCTTTACAGCCAAGGAAACGGAATTCAGGGGCTCAACCGAGCCCCGAAAAGAGAGATTATCCGGTCATTCCCAGTGACAGTGGAGGACAGCCTCTCCCAGGACAATTAGAAGATCCACTGCCCATTGTAAATAATACGGCACTGGATAATACATTAGCTACAGAGGATGAATCAATTATATCAGGAGGAGGAAGATAACAGCCCATCTACAAATTCATAGTCCACCATGGGTAAAGTGACCTCCTAAAAGGAAAGAGAAGTGTTTTGTTTTTGTATTCACAGGTAAACTCAGCAAAGAATACTGGACATATGGATTCCTGTAGAAGAATGAATAGCTACCCTGAGGACCATCAAACAACAGCACTGTGTGGTATCAAAGTCTAAATCTCTCTATATTGCTTTTTCATAGTACCCTTTTATCTTTATTTCTTCACATACCTCAGTTCCCATTCATTTAACTGAAGCTGGCTTTGGAGTTGGATTGGCTCTCCTACTCTAAACCCAAGCATATTATTTAAATACAATTCAGAATTTCTGTATTATATCAAAGAGCCATTGATATAAGACAGAAGAAATAAAATGAGGGACTGTTATCTGTGGATTTCTTTTTCTGAACAGTCTAATTTCCTCCAGGTTTTCCATCTTCCCTATTGTCACCTCTTCTGTATGCATACATATGAAAGTTAAAATATTTCTTTGTTAACAGTAATGTTTGAGTTTTCCAGAGAACAAGGGATTTCCTGACAGCAATCTTCAACTGCTTCCGAAAGAGAATGAGGATCCACTTCCTTGACTTCACCTGATTCGACTGGAGGCATCTGAATTGCCCCACATCATTGACTCCACCTGACAAGCACTATCCTGAAACTGGCTTGAAACTACATCACTCTACACAACTCCGGACCAAGAAACGGAAATAGCACATCTTCTACAATCTGACCAGAGCTTCAAGATAAGAGCTTCAATCAACACTAGAACCCCAGTCAGGAACTTCAATCAAGCATCTCCTGCCATACTGAGACTGTCTGATCTACTGAGATTTTGTTATACTAACATTTTCTTTTCACAGGTCCCCATGAGATTATCATCGTCCCATCTCAGCAGGAAGTAGTTTTGAGAATTCCACGCCCCCTCTCCCTACTATTGATATTATAAGATTACACCTGTTAGTGTTAGTTTTCAATTATTTTAGAGTTGGGATTGGAAGGAGGTGTTCATATTTGGGTGTTTCTTTAAGATAAGTTTAGGTTTAGATAGAATAGATGTTTGATACATTTTGTTCATGGACACAAGTTAGTTGTCCTTTTTAGACTAAAAGGGGAATTGTAGGAGGAAGTCTGATGCCGCCATTAAACATGTGACTTACTAAGTCTATGCCGCCATTAAACATGTGACTTACTAGAGGCGCATACAGATGAGGTAATAAAAGGGCGGTTTACCACACCGCTAACCACACCCACTTTAGGCAGGACTAAAGACGTATACGGCTGGACGTAAAGACGTATACGTACGTAGGCGGAACTACGTCACTAGCCAAGCCCACTTTTGGGCATGGCTAGGGGCGTTACGGAGGAAGGCATAAAAGACAGCGCACAGGAAGTCTCGCTCTCTTTTCCTGGAGTTCGGCTTCCGGTCCAGTCGCTAGCTGAGATCTGCTGGGCTTCTCGGGGTTTGGTATCTTGTGAGTAATTTTCTAACATTAAATACTTAGCTTCACTTTCCGTAATTGTGTGTCGCGTATCGTTACAGCGTCCGTAAAGCCAACACAAAGATGCATCATATTCCTTCAACCTAGAAAGGAGACAATTTTTCCAATGTAATACTGAGGCCAAGGAATTAATACCCTCTCCTGAGTATAGTCAATTACTTTTCTTCTTGTAGACTGATACCTACAAACACAAAGCTCTAACACATTCCTCTATGTAGAAGTTCCACAAAACTTTCCAAGGAATTCTTGGACTCTCATGCAACTTTTAGACTATTATATTCATAATTATTAATCTTACTTCAAAAGGTAGTGGCATTTTCTCACCTTTTCCTTCACCACAAACTATATCTTGAAGCCCCACCCCCTTCAGGTCACTTGCTGAGGTTATTCTATTTCCCCTTCCCAGGGAGAGCCAGGCATCCCTCCCATATTACCTAGTCTCTCTGGGTCATTGGATTATAGCATAGTTATTCTTCATTTTGCAGCTAATATCCACTTGTGCTAAGTCATAATGGTAATCCCCAAACTGTAGCAGACCATGGTACCAGGGGTCAACAAAAACCTCTGCCCAGCTGTACTTGGAGAGATGGGAAGAAGGATGGGGGAGAAGAAAAAAGAAAAGCTTGATCAACTTTTTGGGAAACAAATTTTCCTAAACTGCTGGACTAATGAGCTTCTGTGAACTTGTCGTGAACTGGAGTTACCCATGAAGTAGGACCCTCCTTTGAGGCATTGCCTCCATCAGACTGGTGTCTGGGCGTGTTTCTGGTGAATTTTCTGATTGTCACTAGCACACTGTGAGCTTTGCAGGTGAGTCTGGGCTGTGTAAGAAAGGAAGCTGAGCAAGGCAGTAAGCAGTGTTCCTCATTGCCTCTGTTTTAGATTCTCCTTCAGGTTCCTGTCTTGGTTTCCTTCAGTGATGAACTCTAAACTATAAGATGAAGTAAGTCCCTTTCCTCCCTAGCTTGTTCTTAGTCAGTGTTTAATCACAGAAGAAACTAAATTAGGAGAGCTGGCAAAATAAAGGCTTTTAGGAGAAATCTAGAGCTTACCATGAAGATTTAAGTGTAGACTAAAACCCAACTGTCATCGATTCTGTCCTTGAACACCGTCCCAATTTAGATATGTGACACCAAAGACCCCTTTTCCGTAACAAGCACCAGAGAACAGAGACCACAGTAGTGAAAGCCAGGCAGTTTATTTTTCCCACTTTGCAAGCCCAGGCATCAGCTGAGAAGGGCAAGTACACAGTTTTGAGTCCAGACAACAGCTTTAAACCCGAACGAGTCACGGCACCCCTTTCCTCTTTCACTGACCAATCAGGAGGACTGTCTTAGTCATTTAGATTGTAGCATTCCCTCTGCCAATTATGTTTGTCTTTTCTTTGACAAAACCATGTGAGAGTTAATCTATGTTTTACGTTTTGTTTGCTGTAAAGCTTGTCAGGTAGTACATTACCTTGTAGGCAAGTTTCCTACTAGTGACTTTCTACTTTAAACCTTTAGTTTGGGGCAGGGGCGGGGGTGAGGGGTGGGGGTGGGGAGAAGGATTTGCATGGGGGGCTACTAAGGTAGCAGGCTGCCTGCCCTAGAGTCCCAGTGTTTCCTGTTTATTTATAGTTGGATGTCGGCTGACTCAAGCTGTTTTTGTTTTTGAAAATGAACCACCAGATTTTATTTCTTAGGACAAGTGTGACCCTTGCTTCCCAAGCATGAAAGGAGAGCACCAAACATGGCAGGTGAATGAATCAGACCTACTCAGTTGGATTTTACCAAGTCAGATCCAAGGCTGTAGCAGCTAATTCTCATTTCGGGTTTTCTATTGCTATTCACTGTCAGTGCTTGCTAATGATTACACTGGGTGAGAAAAGTACAGAATCGGCAGAGAGAAGAAAAGCCTATAATGGGGGGAGGGGAGGCCAGCTGTTGCCCAAAGGAGCGGCCACCACCTTTCAAAGGAAAGGGAAACCTAACCGAAGCAAAGCAACACAAACCAACGAAGTTCCTAGATTCTGAGGTCTCCTTTCTGCCCGCAGACTGAGTTCCCAGAATTCCAGAAGGAGTCTTAGGTGTTGTCAGAGAGCCTAAGCTGCCATGGGGGCTGGGTGACAGAGGACTTCCTCACAGAGGCTAGCAAGGCAGTCGCCCTCCTGCAGCCTGCTGCTCACCCACTCGCCCCTCCTGCGGAGGAAGTGGCAACGGCGGCAGAAGTGACCACAGGTGCAGCGGGGCAAGCCGCCAAGGAGGATAGGCGTCTGGGTGTGAAACCCTTTGGCTGGTGGGATGACCCAGTGACCCAAGGACCAGGAGGAAGCCGCGATGGGGGAGAGCAAGGGCAGGGAAAATGAGGACGAAGGGCAGGATGGCAGCAGAGGAAGCTAGGGAGAAAGATGCCACAGGCGCTCAGGGCCCTAGGATTGTTAGCAAGTAACCTCTCAAATACTTAGTTCAAGAGTCTGTTCTTGAGTCTTTCTTTGCCCGAATGTCCGGATCTGGCTCAGGAAGGATGATCCAGGAGACCTGGAGTGGGGAGGCCTCGCAGTTGACTCCTACCTAGGATCAGGAACAGAGTTTTACCTTTGAGGACTCCACAGCATTCTTTCAGTCAAGTTTCTGGTTAGGATGGGCTTTAATATTTAGTAGTGGGAAACAGAACAGTAGTTATCTTGGTTTTCTAGGTTTGCTAGGTTGGGGCAATGGGTACTTGGATGCCCAGTTTATGTTGCTTCAGTGGTTACTACAACACTGTGATGAATGGGGAGCTGGGCTTTCAGCTGCTGTGTCTTACCTTGGATACCCTTCATTTTTTTTCTGACTCTGGGACCAGGTGCTTGTTTAGTTCCCGAGGAAGGGACACAGCTTCGGCAAAGTACAGCTCTTTCCAGGCACTGAGAAAGACAATGAAGGGTACCAGTTTTTAATTAGTTTCAACTCTTGCTCCTGAGTATTCTGGTGGAAGTTCCACCTCCGTGCCCCTCCCCCATCTCTCTCCCCCTAAACCCTGCACCATCCCAGAAAGTCTGTCATCTCCCCCAGAGATGCTCAAGACCACTCCCAGAGGGATTTAAATTGCCCCCCCGAAAAGTGATACCTTTCTCTGTCTCTCTTTCCTGTCTCCTCTCTGGGTGGCCGGAAATCATCCAGGAGCGGATTACCCATTAAACCTGGGCCTTT